AACTGAGGAAGCTAACGTTAGCCACCTAGCTCGGGTGTTTTTATCTGTTGTTTTTTGGTGTTCTGTTTGCCACAAAGTGAACTTTGAACTTTACAGACATTGTGAATATGATGTCAGAAATCACTGTGGAGGAAAGTGATCAGAAAGTGATCAGATGTATTGATTTACATCCGCTGGCTTAAATGAGTGAATTATTTCTCAGTGGGGATCAAACGTGTGACCTTTACATTACACATCCCTCCTCCTTCTACACATCACCCTCCTCCTCCTCTTCTTGCTGAGCCTTCATCATCACTCTGCTCCATATATGTGATTTAATCTATAAGCCTCTAATAGCTTTTTATCAGTTAATGGACGTTAATGGTTCTGTAATCTTTCTGCTGCCTTTTGATTTTCATCACGCTGATGGTCGACGGAACAAAAGCAGAGCTGAGTGGATCCTAATCGTCCCGCAGATTTACATACAAATGACATTCAGAGACAATTACGTCACTTTGAGACACTAATCCAACTAAGTTGTTAATCGACACACACAGAATATTCTTATACAACGTCTGAAATATGTAAATATTTGGGTTCGGGACAGCAGAATAGAATCATACAAAACTTTATTTATACAGTCACATTACATAAAGTTTTATTTCTGTTTCTTTATTTACAAATGTGAAAGGAAACAGATTATTAATTTAAGGTAACAGAACTTTATTTATACATCCTGTGGAGACAAAGTGAGAAAGTGCTCATTATTGTGTGTAGATCAATAAAGTTTTGAAAGAAAGAAATGTTTGTGACTGAATTATTATTAATATTTCAGTTTGGAGTTTGGATAAAATCACTTCTTTATTAGAGTTTTATCTTAATTTAATCTTTTTCTGTAAAATACAAACTGTTCTATAATAATACAGTAAAGGAATATTAGTACTTTTTTATCCATATTTCTCTGTAAGAAACAGTTTTGCTGTAAGAAAATACCATATGATGCTGTGATGGTGGTTTTCTGTGCAATTTACTGTCTGTAATATAAAAAACGATTTTATTCTGTATAAATTCCTTTAAAATGCCGTATGAATAAAGGTTTTGCTCTGAGATATCAGTGTTGTACCATTACAGAAACTTAAACGCATTTCATCTTTTACATTTCCACCAATGTGGGGGGGGAGGGGCAAACTAATAATTTAATTAATTAATAATATTTTTAAAAGGTTTCTCGTTATAACAACTTACAGAAATGGGCTTCCATACGGGACCGCAGAGAATCACAACGTTATCACTTTATTCACTGATTCTGGTGGAAGAGCGACGTGTGCCACTGAATCTAATGAAAGTTCATCAGACCACCAACGAGACAAGAGTTTTTTAGTTTCATCCTCTGCAGATTGACTAAAGACACAGCTCAATTCACCCAACAGGGGGCGTGGTCAATCTGAAGACAAAAAAGTGAGGTATGGCTGCTCTCATCTACAGAGCCGATTAGTTCCGCCCCCATTATCAGGTTCAGTTTCTCACCTTCATAACAAACCTTCATGAAAATGTGTTGATGGTGAACTCACAGCAGCCAATGAGCTGTCTATGTCTCTATATCTCTGGTCCACTGCGTCTCTCCTGGAGGACCTCCAGGTTCCAGGTTCCTCTCAAATAAAGAAAAGAGGAGCCAGAGGGGTCAGATTATGGTTGAATCCTAAACATCAACATCTCAGGACTGATGATGATCTTAATTAGCCACTAATGAAGTCAAACTGTGAAAGTTTAAAGTGAAGTTTCCTCCGTTTCTTTGATGAAAATATCTCCCGTAAGCAGCCCACTGGAAGGTTATGTGACTGTGGGGACGTATCTGGGTCGTGTGATCCCATCAGGAGGATTATTAGGGAATAATTTGAAGGATTTCTGGGGATATAATTCAGTATGTTAGGATAATAATTGATAGAAGATTCCACTTTCATCCTGTAAGACGCAGCTTCAGTGTGGATTAGAAGACGCTGCAGGGACATCTGGACTGAGCTGCCTTATTTCTGAGCCTTATTAGGCTGCATCTTATTTATTTCTTATCATCTCTGCATCTTATCAGCTCTGATTATCATCTGCAATCTGCGGCAGCTGCAGAGAGAACACACTGTCCGTACAGTCACGCTCCACATTAATGTCCTCAACAATCGCTCTTCAACGTGTATTTAAAGGAAAAAACTGAAATCTGCTTTTAAAATGTTCCTCAATTTCTATGGAGGCTTACTTCTGCCACGAAAAGTAAAAACAAGATTAAATGATAAAACATAAAAATATCACATCAAATTCATATTATGAGATATGATTAAGGTCAGATATATAATCGTCAGACATTTTACTCCACTATGAATACTTTTATACATACTTTATTTCTTACATTTTATCATTTTTATGAGCTTCAGCTAGAAAAGTTTAAAAATCGTATTTATTGAACCGATGTTTCTATATTTTATATTATTATAATCTTTTCATATACTGGCAATTTATTTTTCATGTATATACATTTATTGTAACCCGTACAGATACAATTAAGGGATTACTATTAGTTTGAAATCTGTATCTCATTATTGGTCTTTTTCCAAACACATAATGAACAAAATCCGAAAGATATCATCAGAATAATCAACAGATATTTAGAGCAAAAAGAGGAGATATGGGATGGAAATAATGAATCTGGATTATAAAAAATTTTCACTGAGAGAAACGGAGGCGTCGATGTTTTCAGATTAACAGAAGAAATATTCTCCTGCTGAGTAATTGGGGTCATGATGACATTTTATAAAACCATCAGAGCTTCTAAAAACCAATAAAGGAGAGTGAACAACAGCGTCTCCGCCCGTCCAATCCGCCCACCGCTGGTCTATTTTTGGAGGGAAAAAAAGAAAAGAAATGATGATTAATGTTATTGGATTATTTACATTGCCCTCAACATGATTGAGCTGCAGAAATGAAATTAAAATGTGTGTTGAATGGGATTTTCCAGGAAAGTCCTGTAAAAACCACGACGGTAATAAGGAATGACTAATTCTCCCAAAGTCGATTAAACACCATCTCATCCCGCAGGAAAATACACTGCAGCCGGAGAACAAATAAGATCTGGATTAGACAACTGTGGGTACATTAAGGGGCAGATTAGAGTGTTTTTATCCATTATTTTGATTATTATTCAGCGTGTTCTTGTTCTGAGGGCTTAACTCTGCTGGTTAGTGCAGAAAACAAGCCATTAGACACAGAAAGGATCAGAACTCACAGAGCCAACCTGCACGATTGAGCTTTGTTTTCTACATCCACGTTCTTTAAAAGTCAAAGAAACGTCCTCAGTGAGATTGTCAGTGTGATTCACATCGTCTGATTCACATCGTCTGATTCACATTATCTGATTCACATCGTTTGATTCACATTATCTTGTTCACATCCACTGATTCACATTATCTGATTCACATTATCTGATTCATATTATCTGATTCATATTGTCTGATTCACATTATCGTCTGATTCACATTATCGTCTGATTCACATTATCTGATTCACATCGTCTGATTTAAACAGCTTTAAACATGTTTCAGTCTTGACTTTGAGTTTGAACATTGTTGGAAACATTTGGGATAATGTAAGAACATAGAGTTTATTTACTGTTTATTGATTATAGATTATTGATTGAATCAACTACATATTACATATACATACGTCATGATTGACGTCATGACGTTGCAAGATGGCGGCGCGCACAGACGCAGCGGCTCACAGCTCTCCCTATTTGTGCTTCTTTTGTGTTTATTGTATGTTGTACGGATACCAGACTCAGGGATAGCTTCTTCCCCAAAGCTGTCACCATACTCAACCTACATTCAGACTTGCACCTAATGTATTGTAATATGTATGTATGGATACTTTATGTGTGACTTTTACGGAGCTGCTCCAAATCTCCATTGTAACTGTGTCTCGCTCGGCTTTCATTGTCAATTTTCAATATAGAACATAGCTCTAGGCAGTTTATACACTGTTTAAGATATCAGTGATTATAAACAATTTCTTCAGAAACAACATTAAAGAAAACAGGTCCATTGGTTATTTCTTCATAGATCAGCAGTTTCGTGCAGTAGTGAGTAAATGTACCT